TCGCCAGCACCACCACTCAAATACAATGATGCTTCTTCCATCTCCCTTAGTCAGTGTCCAATTTTCACATGCTTATGAGGCAATTAAAAATACCATGGCTGGGGTCGGGTGCACCTTAGTCCTCAAAGTACATCCCTGCTTGTCGATACCCTAAAGAGGTCTTGTGCAGCAGATTAACCTCGTCTGATCTCCTGACTGCTGCTTCTGGATCTGAGCAAGACAAACCCTTGACAGCGTCACCCTTTTCTCCATTGACCATGATCTCACCTATTGGTCCAGTTGTGAGGATTTTGGTCTTCCTTACATTGAGTTGTAATCCATACTGAAGGCTGCAATCCTTGATCGTCATCAGCAAGTGCCTCAAGTGCTCACTTTCAGCGAGCAAGGTTGTGTCATCTGCATATCACAGGTTCTTAATAAGCCTTCCTCCAATCTTGATGCCATTTTCTTGCTCAGATCACATTATCCATATTTAACAAAGCTCGTCGTTTTATAAGATCAACATATATCTCAGCAATTGGTTGTGGTTCAATTAATTAGAAATACTTTGATAAATGTTTGGTGTCTTAGCGATCGAGTGCTTCCAGAACAGAAATAAATACCCCAAGTGAGTGACTTTAACCAACACATGTATTCTATCAGCGTTTAGGAGGCTAGGAATCTGCATTAAGAGCACCAGCTCTGGGGAAAGACTTTCTTTCTTCGTCAAAGGTTTTTATCTCCTTTTAACATTTGAGGGCCCAGGGCTTCTTGGAGGTGTGCATGTGTGTTAGCATCAGTCTTCTCGTGAGTCCAGGGACTCTTGGTTCATAAAACATGATCTGCTCCCAGCTCTTGCTTCATAGTGGTACTCCGGTCCATCTCTCTCTGTTTGCTTTTCTCTCCTCCTTTCATCTCTTATGAAATAAATCGTGGAGTTCACAGCCCAGGAGAACTCCTGTTAGCACTGGATCAGGGCTATGACCTGATAGAGTGGTACAAACCACCCCGATCCCCTTACAACTGATTGGCTGATCACATCAGAGGAGATGTTTATATCATTGCCTAACTGCCAAATTACCTCATCACCTAATTGCCTAATTGCCAAATCACTGAGAACCATGGCTTCGTGTAGTTGACATATTTCATGGGGACATAATTCAATCCACAACATCTGGCCAGCCAACATTTGTCAAGTAAATATTTGGCTGATGTCGTTCACGTGATATGACATGGAATATAGTGAATTTGAATCAGTTCTATGGAAAACAGCCTTGGTTGTTTGATTTTGTTAGGTTTTTAGTTCAAGTAAAGGAAATACCTTCTAGTATTAAGATAGCAGAGGGACATTGGGCCTCCACTCAAGTACTTCTTCAATGCAAGAATACTTTCTTCTATTAAATCGGCATTCTATGATGCTCACCTTCCC